GGCTTTAGTAGCAGGTTATTAATTTGGAAAAAAAGTCAAACATAATTTTTTTTATACTATAATTTTTTGCTTATTTTAAGAATTTTCTTGTTTTTGTTTTCATAAAAAAGATTTCCCTTTACTTTTCATCGTCAATCCAAGCTCGATATAACTAAAAGCAGTTTTTGCTAAATAATACAGTATCTTGGATTTTAGTAAATGTTGTGTCTCTTACCGAAAATAGGAGAAACACAGTGCCGTCCATGATCAACGTAACAGCATTTTTCATTTCCGGGGCATTCCTCGTCATAGCTACATCCTTTATAATACTGCCTAATGTGTGTTGGGCAGTCCCCTGGTTTTAGAGAAAAGTGGGCTTAATATTGTTAAAGTTATCACACATCTACATTGGTTAAACAAACAAAAACTCAAACAAAAACATAATGAAACACATGGAAGAAGAAAAATCCAACTTACCAGGTTTTCGCTGTATAGAGGGCACAAACAGACAAGCTGCTATAAGCAGAACAGCTATTGTAGAACAGAGCTTCATGTTGATTTCTCACAATCAGAAATGAGCTCAGAACTCTTGTTTGGATGAAGATCCTGGAACAGAAACTGCAGTCTGAGCAGCACAGAGGATGCTGGGTCCTTGTGTCTGCAGAATAAGATATATGGTCCCAACAGACACGCCTACATTCTTCACCAGCTTTGTGGAACCCAGTTTTAGAAATTCTTTTAGTTATCAGAAGGTAAAGATAAAAATCTTTTCAGCTATCCAGGATTTTTTTCTTGTTCTGTTGTTATTATTGTGTTTTTGCAATGTTGTCAACAGTCTTTGTATTTTTTTTTTTTTTACAAATAAATCAAAATAGTCAGCTCCATGAATGCAATGCACTTGACTACTTATAAACAAACCATTGGTAACACCTAAAGACCTTTCTAAAAGGTTTACATGACAGAAACTAATAATAATTTAAAGAACTGTGGTGACTAGGCTGCTAGGAATTCATCCATTTTTCTTACTGATTTTCCATGTTATGGTGCATTCACACCAAACGCGATTTCAGCATCAGGAGCAGCAGGTTTACATACAAAGTCTATGGTGGACGCGCTTCAAGCAACATTGGGAAGTTCTGCGGCGCCTCAAGCGCGATTAGATCATTTGAACGATTTGAACGATCTGAGCGTTCGACGTGCTTGATGCTCAAATCGCTGAAG